CTGTTTTTTTTTTTTTTTTTTTTCCCTTCCTTTTGGTTTTTTTTTGGGTTTTTTTTTGTTTTTTCTTCTTTTTTTTTTTTTCTTCCTCTTTGATTATTGTTTAAATGGATTTGATCTTTTGCTGATGACAAGTTTTTTTTTCCTAGCATGCGATGGTTACTAAACTGTGAGCAAAAGGTGCTGCTGGGGCCGGGAGTCACTGGGAATGAAAAATGATAATATTAATAATACAGACTTGCCAGTCCAGCAACAACTGATATACATTTAGTAGCTATATATCTATATATGCAACTGGTTTTGTTGTGGCACGGAAAAGCGATGTGAAATATGATGCTTATTTTTTAAAGATAAGAGAAAAGGCATGTTTCTAACTCTTTTTGCAGAGGATTTTCTCTGGTGTTGTTTTATTTTTATTTTTGGGTGTTTTTTAAGGGGTTCTTTTTTGTAAAGAGATGGGAATTGCAAATGCATTTCACAGCAGTGTTTACACAGAGTTTGTAATCTTGCAATACTGGTGGAAGCCACAGAGCAAGATGTTAATTTTATTATTTTTGTTATTGTTTCTTTTTTTTTTTTTTTTGAGACTCAGCAATCAGCAGGTTTTTTTTTTTCTTCTTTTTCAGTTTTTGATGCCTGTTTATAATGTGAAACTTTTCTTGCAGCATGTTAGTTATCATTTTTAAATACTTTTTTCCTCCTTAAAGATAACAAAGCAAAACAGAAAGCCAAAGAGATGATCCTTACTTTTGCATATTTTGCACTTTGACTTTTTTATTCTTTTGCCAGCAGTATTTTATGATGGTTATTATTATCATGATGATGATGATGATAGATATATACATATATACAAATAAATACATTTTCAAATGATGGCAGTGGAAGGTTTTCCTGGAGAATGAAGTGCGGTTTGGTTTCCTTGTCAACGGAAGATGAAGTGAACAACTGAACATCTCCCCAGTGCAGGTACTTCATCTCCTTGTAGGCGTTTCCACGCTGTGTAAATTACATTGTGAGATTTTTCTTTTATTTTCTTTTCTTTTTTTTTTTTTTTTCTTTTTTTAAGAAATCTCTTTCCACCCATAACTAAAGGTTTCTGTGCAATACACATGAGGACTGAACTAAATATCTCTGCCTCGTGATTGCTTGGATGTGTGTAAAATGTTGCACTAATTGAGCATAGGTCGGTTAAGCTGAAGAGAGGTGTTTTGTGTGCTGTACTGTATAGAGAAGGCAGCTGGGGAAAAAATATCCAGACACCTACCCCCCCACACCCCCCCCACCTTTTCCATTTGAAAAAAAACCAACCCTAAACCCCAAACCGAAACTGATGAAACCTTGAGATCCTCATTATGGGTACAAATACTTACAGGACTTTAGACAAAACCAAAAACCCTGGCCCTGTATCGTGATGACTCGTGTGTTTGTGTGTGTCTGTTTAAAAATTATCCATTAGAAAATAGCTGTGAGAGAAACAGCAAAGAAGGCTCCCTTGGAGAGCTGGCTCACTGCCACATGAGGCATATTCCGTAGCCCTAAGGGCAGCAAAACCCTTATATCCAACTTCTGCTCCTCATATTAAAAAGGCATAAACAAGGCAGCAGGTTGCTTCTTATGAATTTAATTCATTGGGATGGAGATTAATCAGAAGCAGATATTTGCTTGAAGGTGTTTCGTTTTGTTTTGATGATTATTAATGCCACTGGCTGACAGGGAATGGGAAACTGTTACTTTCCGTGACGGTCACTGAGAGTTCAGGATTGGAGGAGAAGAAACTGTTACTTTTCATTGAGAGCACTTAAACGCTTAACAGAGGCTGCCCCCGATGTAGAGACAGGATATTGGTTATCTAAAATACAATTTGGAAAGATTTTTCCAGTTAACAGGTTTCTTTTTTTTTTCTTTTTTTTTTTTTTTTTTTCCTGAATGCTTGGATCTGCAGTGTTCTCTGTTGTTTACTTTATTGTGATGGGATTGCTTAATGTATTTTATATAAACAGCTTTTAGGGATCTATAACTGACTATAAAGATAGGCTGTGTATTCAGCTGCGGAAACTAAAGTAAGTTACAGGGGATATATTTCTTTTCTCCCTGTGGTATAAGCAAAAATAATTCGTAGGACTACAAATGCATTTGGAAGTTTGAGGCTTCTAACACTTATATTTACATTCTTGTAACTTAACAGCTTCCTTCAAAGTAGAAAGTGTGGATAAGAAGTCTTCAGCATTCTCTTGTGCAATTAGTCATTGAAAAATAAATACATTCATTTGTTTCTGTAGAAAAATAACTGTTAAGTATTTATGGTGGCTTTTTCCAGCTTAAATATAATAAAAATGTTTAACATATTTATGCACTACTTCTGCTTTGACTTGATGGAATACTTTTGGCAGTATATCGGGGTCAATAATCCATGTGTCTAAAAAACACTGTCTAGATATTTGCATAATAGATTATGATGACTTCTCTGAAATAGCGACGATCTGTTGTGTCAATACTCCACATTTTAAGACTCAGCCTGCTTATTTTTATATTGTTTCACTTGAAAGCAAGCCATTGAAATACAAGAGTGATTGAAACTTTATTCTACATCCCTCTTTTTATTTCCATCTCTCCTTATTTTTAATTTAAAGTTTTTCAATAAATTATGTGGAACTGCCAGTAAGCAAAATATTTTCAATATTGCTAAAGCACTGAAATAAAGTAACTAGGCTAGGAGTTTCCAGAATTATGTTCCTTTTGTCCTTTCTTTTAATATTGCAGGTGTGTTGTGTGAGTAATTTTGTACAGATAGTTGCTGACTGAAGATCTAGTCCTGCTCACCTAGTCTTATCCTGAAGTCTGAGAGAGAAAGTTTTAGGAGTGCACTGTTTTCAGCACCCAGATTTCATCTACAAAACACCTGTTGTCTGAGTTGCATGGTAATTAATATACATACATTTCATTTGCAGCAATCTGATGTTGTGTGATTTCATGTATATCAAACAGCCTGGGGACTTTAAGATAGGAATAAAGGAGCTAATTTTGAAAGAGGATACCCTCTCCCTCCTGCACTATGTCAGCACAATAGGATTTGGGTTGGTGGAATCTGTTCCAGCTTGGTGTTTCACTAGTTATGCTATGACTAATGCTGTTGAAAGCATGTTTGGAAAGCCATAGTTAATGTAAAAGACAATTGCCCTTCTGTACTTTTGAGATTAATAAAAATTTTGTCTTAAGAACTGCAGCATTGTTTCTACAAGTGGTGATACAATTACATTTCTTATATTTAGTATGAGATGGACTTGTACTGCCATAACTCCTGAAAGACATGAGTGTCCAGACTTAAATGTCATCTATTTTTCTTTACATCTGTCCCAATATTCAGGGGAGCTTAGGAATTTAAGATACCTTTGTACATGTTTGTAAACTGAAAGCTTTGGAAAGCAATTTTTCTTTTCTTTCTCCATAACTAACTGCTATTAATGGCATTTACTAGAAAATAAGAATGAACAGGTGAACAGAAGTTACTAACTGTACAGTGCCCAGAGCGCTGACTCATAAATACAGGTTTTTAGCTGATGTAGTGGCCTGAATTGGCAACAGCAGCATATATTCTCACATTTTTCTACATAGAAAATAGGACTGGAGGGGCCTGTGGAGTCATCAACCCTGTTTTGCTGTGATGCCAGACTGGTCGTCTTATTTTGTTCAGATTCAGCAAGCTGTGGTTTAAATTTAGCTTGGGCATCACTCCCGCTGCACCTCTTCGAAGGTTAGGCAGAGCCTCACTATTCACGCTGGTAGAAACCTCATTCCCATCCTAAATTTATTCTCAGACAGTTTACACTTTTTTTTTTTTTTACTTTTTTTTTTTTTTTTGGTGCCAGTGCTGTCCCTAAACAGTAAGATTCCTTCTCCACATCTTCTCCTCTTCAGAGTGTATTTCTTCTAGAGAGCAATCACAGCCTCTTTTCACTCATGTTTGCTGGGCTTACTGGGAGAGGTTCCCGACAGTGTGTCCAGTGCTGGGAAGGGGTGTTGAGACTGGCTCTGACCAAAGTCATGCTGCAGCAGAAACAAGGCAGCTGCATTTAAATCCTCTTCTGTCCAAGCTGATCTGTTCTGCTTTCAGTTGCAAACATGGCAGTCTGGTTTGTGGCTCTCACATCAGCCGGAATGTTTCTACCTGGAGCTGTGCTTGTGGACATGCCTTCTGCTGGTGGAGCAGGCTTTGCACTCTGCAGACCTTCCCTTTGCTCTGCCTAACCAATCTCAATTTCTCTGGCTAGAATGTAATGGCAAAGTACTCTAAGGAATTTCTCCTGCAACACTCTGATGTTAAACTCCCAAGAATCTTCTATTTATGTTTTAGTATTTTGTATTCATATCAGCCAGGGGAACCTGAATGGACTTGAGCCAATGCTGTATCGGGGACTGTCTTCTATCAGGAAGAAATGTGAAAGTTTGCTACAATGCTTTTAAAAATAGCTTTTCCTTATTAGTTTCTTCCCAGGTTGCTTATATCTTAGCACTCTAGTCTTCTAAAGTATTATTCTAAAAGTAGTTTATTTCTCTTTTACAGTGTAATTTTTCCTATTTTCTTCATTCCCTGCCTTCTGGGTTTCAAAAGATAAAAAGATGAAAAAGCTTAGTAGTGTTTAACGTGTAGGATTGTAAAAACTGATGGTTCTGCCCCCAGATTAATGTTTTTAACTTCCCTTGGTCTTCTTAGAGGATGTGGTGCTCTGTCAAATTCGAGAGCTGAATCCTTTATGTTTTAAGTACTTACAGAATTTCTGAACAGCAGGCTAAAGATGACTATTTCCTGATAAAAAATTATGGGATCTGTGACACTGTCTACTTAGTCATTAAGTTTGTAGCTTCCTCAAGCTCCCATCTAGACTGACAGAAAAAACCAAAATGCTACTTTTAAATGGTATGACGATTACAATGTAACATTTTCACCTTTGTAAGGTACCAGTATGATTTTATGGTCTTTGAACAGTTAATGAAGTAAAATGGCTTGAAGATTATTGCTTTGTGTATACACACATTAGAATAATTTCTACCATTTTTTTTTTCTTGGCTTTACTCTTTCCTATTTCAAAACTAATGACACTCTAATCTCTATAATGTATTTAATCTTTTAAAAGCATTTATACTGAGGTTTTGAAAGTATTTTCTAAGAAAATTTATTTTTGTACAACGAAGTGTGTTTTTCCATCTCAATGAATCATCTGCCAACAATTAAAACAAATAATCAAGTAGACCTTCAATTTATTAAGTGAATCTCGGGTTGCTTAGTGTAAATACAATTAATTTGTTTCTATCATTGTAATATTCTGTGATAGAAAGATAGATAGGCAGATGAATAGATAGAATCATATAGACAGATATTTTTAGAGATGTTTTTAGTGTGATAGAGAACTAACAGAAATCTTACATTCATTAATTATATTTCAGGGCTGAACAAAAAATTTTGTTTAAGAATGAACAGTTTAACTTTCCCTGCATAGTAAATTTGTACACACCAATATTATCTACTGCCACTTGACAAAAGCTACAGTTACATTGCCTCCATGATACTCTTCTGTGTGTCTCCCCAGCATTCAACCCAGGCTCCTTACGTGCTGTCGGGTCTGCCAGGATGTCAGGGCTCAGCCTTTCTGTAATTTCATTTTAGTTTCAGGAACAGAGTTTTTTGCTCTGGTGTAGTTCCTTCGTGGTTATGGCAGCAAACAGTAATTTCTACTCTGGCTTGGCTGGTAGAGGTTTGAAGAAGCAGAGGTGGCTTTCATATGAGTGATGACCAACAGTAGGTTTAAACATGGTAGAATATGAATGACACTCACCAGGCTCTTTATATTTCCTTTGCACACTCAGAGTCTTTCTGCCAAAATACCTAAAGCTCTGAGTGATTTTGGTTTATACCAGTGGCCCTTCCCAGGTGGCCTTCTCCTGTTGTCAGTGATTATTGCCTCTACTGA